GAGCAACTGAATGAAATTACCAGGGAAACTTCGATTCACGTATAAGCGAACCAAAAACATTGTTGCAGCTCATTATCAATTTTATCAATCGATTTGGATATGCGATCGTATGTATGTAAGTTAAAAATGTTATAAATATTTACAAGAAATTTTTAAAGTGAAATTTATTCATTAATAAACTCAATATGGTATTACAATTTTTATCTTTCAATTCAATACAAACGTACAGTATTGAATAATTTACTTTTCTACACTATTGTTATAGTTTACCTACTCATCATTGAATTCAAAAAATACAAAAAACAATATAGCAAAATTTACCTCTAATTTATTAATTTTCGTCTTTTTTTGCAAATTTTTACCATTAAGAATTGCACTAATATTATATTTACGGCTTTCTTAACTTTATTTCGGTCATCAGGTACAATATAACACAATAATTTGCAAAATATAATAACTATAAGCAATAAAAAAATATTTGGGAAATTGAAATGTCCTTGTGTGTACGAATATTATGTCCTTTTTTTCTTTTAAAATCTTTTTATTAGATATGGGCGTTCTGCTTACAGTAAAAATTAGAAATGTTTGTTGAATATTTGTTGAAATGTATAAGAGGTTAATTACCATTACCTCATATAACAAAATTACCTACATAACAAAAATTTACTGTCATTAAGAAGAAAAAAAATACAAAATTTAACTTTAAAAAAAAAAACCTTTTTTTTATTTTCAAATTGTTTGTTTTCTTCTTAAATTTAACTTGATTTCGGACTTTAATTAACAAATTGTGTGCATATGTCATTAAAAATAAAATATAAAATTAATTTTGATGGACAAAAAATATACGCAGGTATGATAAAAAGGTAAATTTCCATTTTAATTATTTATTTTTCGCATATTTACTATACAAAAGGACGAGAAACATTTTTAGAGCATATGCAAAAAATTCTGTTTAAAAAAAATAAATTGAATTTTTGAAGGCATCTAATGAATTATATTTAAAATGATCTTAAATTAACTTTTGCAGGAAAATTTGGAAATTTTATTTAGTTTCTGTAAATAAAATAGTTATGCCGAATGTCTAAAATTTTTTAATTACATCAATTTACGTTTTATTCGAATTTCAGGGATTTCAATGATTCAGTAACTAGACAATTAGGTGGGTAATTTTTTTATGCTTATTTTTTAGTATTCTAAAGTTTATAACATTCTTTTAACATAACATGATTCTTTACGTTAAATAGTCAACGTTGTAATCGAGTTAGTTTGATTTACGATTTCATTATGGGGAGAACAGCACTTCCAAATTAATTCAATGCACAATTAATATAAAGTGTTGAAACTGTATAAGCTATGCAAACTTTCAAAAGAACTATAAACGTAAAACGCAATCGTGACTAATTTTTATATGAAATGGTATTAAACTAGTAAAAGGTAAGAATTTTTTTGATTTAAACGAAAATTGGATACAAATTTGCAATATTTCTAAATTTTCATCAATCAAATGCTTTAGAAATCACGCATATTGCAGCAAAATGAATGCATCTGTGTAGGAGCATTTACAAAAAAATCTTCAATGTACGTTAACTACATACATTGTACCCCTACATATGTATATATATATGTAGATATACATTCATATGTAAAACCTTTTAGATCCTTAATATACAGGTGGCTCTTATTGAAAAACTATAACAGTCTTTTTTTTAAAAATTCCAAGAAAATTTTAAATTAAATTTTATGTATATATAGAAATATGAAAAAAAACTTACCTGCAATATCCTTTAAAAATGTAACAATTACAATTAAATATACAAAATAATATCATAAGGATAACATAAAGAAAAATGAATGAATTTTTAATGATTTTTGAAATAACATTCAATAATGCCATTTGGAATGATAACTATACATTATGTATACATGCATATATACTGTATAGGTAAGTAAATAATTGCAGATAGAAATACAAAACACAATAATTACGCTACCACAACTCCTTTTTTTTTTATTTTTCACTCAATGTGCGCCTATATGACACTAAATATAATAATCTTTCAACATTGCTATTAAAAATATAATTGAAGTAAAATAATTGATTTTCTAATAACAATACAATAATATATAGGTTTAAAATTAAAAATTCCCTAGTAATTGCTTACATTCTAATATAATTATCTATATATGTATATAGGTATACGAGTACCTATATAAATTTTTCATATAATATTATTTTTCAAATTTGTAAATTATTAATTAAATTTTTCTATATGTACACATAACAATGTGAATTTATTGAACACAAGCCAATTTTAAAAAATAAAAATTTTCATTACTTATTGGTATTTTTTTATTTTACATACATACATATTATATATTTTTTACATTTCTTATTACTTGGAATTCAATTACAAGTATTAAATATTAATAAATATACGGTAGATAATTAAGTTTATTGAATCAATTTTTTAATTCAAGAAGCAAGGCAATTTTTTATTTAATATTATTAAAGTTCTTAAAATATTTATGAAAATATAATCTGTTAAAACACGACACATTTAGAGTATATAGATTTGTTTTTATAAAGAATGCATTCAACTTTTCTAATAAATTGAATAATATGAATTATTTTGAAACGATTGAGAGAAGCCTTCAAAACATTATTATGAATATATAATAAACAGTTATTACACTTTTATTTTTAAGCAGCTATTACATACATATAATTTAAAATTGTATTTTTTTCTATATTGCTGTAAAAATAATTAATTTAAATTCACAGCCATTATTTTTAAATTTAGATTTATTTTATAATATTTTGACTGAAGAACAAACATTTATATACAGTGTAACTTTCATAAGACGAACTTTTCATACACGAAAAATCTTTATAAAACGAAATTTTCTGGAAGATACGAATGATTTCTTGTACATTTAGTGATTTCATCTTTTAGAAGTTTCACTGTAGAGCTCATTTCAATATTTTATTTTGAAAAAAATATGTTCATATTTACGAGTACTAATTTGGTCTTAACATAATTTTTGATTTTTGTATTATTTCTTAAAGTTTATACTGAAAGAAAGTAACAGCTTGATTATTTTAAATTTTGTCATACTGTTCTCGTATTTGGAATTTATATAAGGAACTTATAGTTAAAAGTTTCAAATAAACTTTAAGATTTTTAGTTTTTTAATTGAAAATATGTAAATTTATAAATTAAATATTTAAAAGAAAATGAGCTTTATAATCAAATTCAAAATTAAAAACAAAAATTCTTTTCTTAAGGAAAAATTTTTTATGAGCTAAAATTTTAATTTAAATAATATATACGTACATATGTATGTATGTATAATTACAAATTATATTAGAAATTATATACGTATGGTATTTAAGCCAAAATGATCGATTCATTGATTCTGAGAAGAACTAATGTATTTTGTATGAGCACATGAAAATTTAATATTTGTTCAACTTTTTGCGTCTATTTCGAAAGGTTGGGCTAATCTCGAAATTCAAATTAAGAGCAGCCGTTTTTTTAAATGTCAATTTTATTATTAGTTTATATATTGTAACTATACTATAATTATATAATATTCTTGTTAAAAAAGTATCAAAGAACGACTAATAAAAAAATCTGCTCAACTCATTTCAGACAAACCAATAAACAATCACAGAAAAATTAGTTCGGTTTTAAATTGCTGAGTTTAAAGTCAGCAAAGCAATGAATCGAACCCATTTTAACTTTCTGAATTTTTAAATATTTATTAAATTCGTAATATGAACAATAAATTATTTAATAATAATATAATATATGTGTATTTTATTAACAATTTTATTATCATAATTAAAACTACATAATTAAAATGAATTACTTGCAAGTTGTAGTTTATGATTTTTAAATTGTATAGCTTTTAATGTTTGGAGAATATGAACAAAAAACAAATGTGTTCTTGCCACAAAACAAAATTATAAATTAATATTTGACGTTGTTATTTGGAAAGACTTGAGATTTTTTATTATTTTGATTACAAGTTTTTGGTGAAAATTATTTTTTAGGAAAGAGATTCAAGTCAGTAGATCAAAAGATCAAATTAGTCTAAATTTTTATTTTTTTTTTAACGAAAATGTATTATATATTTTGTATTATATATTTATATAAATCAAAAGTCTTATATATATAGTTTTAAACAATTAAAAATTTAATAATTTTCTTTTAGAATCAATGAATTTTGTCAATCAAACCTTATGTTGTTTATCATGCAAAATTTTTTTAAACAGCGGCCAACTATAATTTGATTAACTTTTCATTTATTAAAATTTCATTTATAAGATTTTCTTATATATATATATTTCGTATAAAACTATGTTGTAAAACAATTAATTAGTATCGGTTAGAACATCAAAATTTTCTACAATTACATCAACATTTTCTTATTAAATGTATATAGAAAACTTGGCCATTTTATAATAGTTTTTTTATATACTTGTACTAAATATTGTTCTTTAAATATATCTTATATCATATTAAATTATATTTCACACAAAAAAGAATTTAACAAATTTTCAATAATAAAAAAGAAAAACAACATATAGAACACAATTTTTTTGTTAGTATTTTAAATTAATAATTTTAAATTTGTATAGTTAGTATTTTGAACTGATCTAAATGCGATTTCTATAATTTTTATATTGTTAAACACAAAATTTAAATATGAAAAGACAAATTTTGTATTGATTTCAACTAAACTATAATTTTATAAAATTTACTTACAATAACAAATATTATTTATTATTAAGTGAGTATAGAGCATCATTGTACTAATGTTAATAATTATATAATTGTACTAAATGTTAAGCCATATACATATATTTAAAATAAAAATTAAAGAATAATTCAAATTTAAAATTTATTTTCAACAAAATTTAATAATTTTACACTCGATTAACCATATAAAATATGCTAAATACATTATATTCAATTGAAAATATAGAATTAACAAAGTGCATTGAAAATTTTAACAAATTAAGAATTAACAACTATAACAAAATGCGCTAATAAACAACCATAATTAAATTGAACTTTAAAAAAAAAGAAAAATATTCGATTATTTTTATTCGATTTAATTTAAATAATTTTACGAAGTTCTCTTATTTGTTCTTTAAAACTGATTAAAAATATTTTCTATATGTGTTATCCATAACATAATCAATGAAATGATCAATTGGTTTTATTATAAATGGTATAGATGTTAAACCTAAACCAGTTGGTATTGCTTTTTTAATTGCTTTATTAAGATCTTTTTTACGTAAAAAACGTATTGCCAAAGTTGTTATACGATTAATTGTAAATCCTGGTACAATAACAGACGCCAACATTTGCCATAAAAATACATCACCTGTCATTATTGCTGTTTTCTTTAAATCTTTAGTTTTTTCATATACCTTTGATGATTTATCATAGCAATCAGCTAATACATATGATACAGCAACACCATACGATAAATTGACAAAATTACGATGTATTAATGGTCGAAATGCTTCACCAACTTCATTTGAATATCCTAAATAACGTAATAAACTATCACGATAAATATCATATTCTTTAGTGGCACCATTATTTGAATTGCTCATATTGTTTTCAAAATATTATAATATTGCTTTTAATAGTTCGAAAAAGAAATTTTACTATGTGTGATTATTGAATTTTGAACTGCGGATTTTGTTTAACCTGTTAATTATTAAAGAAATAAAAATAAAAATTATAAAATTTGTTATTTTAAATTTAAATCAATTTTATATAATATATTTTGTATTTCATACAATTTTTGAAAAATTTTCAATAGTAATCCTATATATAATCTCTTAAAATATAGAAAATAAGAAATGGAAAATATAGAAATAAAACTTCGTACACGTACTTAACGAATATAGTAAGTTAAAATGTTTAAAAATTATTACTAAGATATTTTAAGCCATTGTGTTTTAACTCAAATTAGAAAATTTAAAGCATTAAATTATAAGTATTAAATATTCAAAATTTTTGTAAAATAATTAAAAAACTCAGTCAAAAGTGTTTCAGTTTGGTATAAGAAACAAAATTTTTCAAATTCGAATAAAAATTGCTGAAAATGCATAAGACACATTTTGAATAATAAAATTAAACTTCAATGTATTCAAGTGCACCGAATAATTTAAAACATAGATGGACCATAAATCTCCGTAAATTCAAATATACGATTGAAATTAATGTTAACATCACTATGAAAATTTTTTTGATATTAATCATAACAATTAAATTAAAATTTACAAGACATCAAATAAAAAAAGCAATTCCTAATCAATTCCTAATGCATATGCATACACATGTATAAATGTACGTACATATTAACTTCATTCAAAAGTTACTAACTTAGGTTAATTTGAATATGCACAACATAATCTAAAATATTTTCGATTAATAGAATAAAAAAGCAAAAAAAACCCCTCATATTTTCTATTTACAATAGAAAGCATTCTCTAATTTAATATTCCTCACAGAAATTCCTATACACGTTATTTACTATATTGTATTTTTTCTGTTATTTTATTAAATTCTATGTAAAAACGATTCACGTCTCTCCTCAAAAAAATTCAGTACAATATAAATAGAAGAAAAAAAACTCAAAATATAAAAACGACATAGCAGCATATCAAAAATACAAATTGTGCAGAGAAATAAATAACTCCAACTGAATAAAGATGGCGACAATAATGGCCAATAGTGAACTCAAATTTCGTTAAAATTAAAACAAAAAAAATTGTTTGAAAAAACAAAAAAAAAAGAAAAACATGTATTTTTCGTGTCATGTTTTTTTGCTTGTGTTTGTATTATAGTTTTTCTCTCTCATTTTCTTTAAATCCTCCCATTTTTAACACTTCTGTATAAAAAATGAAGGAATGGGGCTTATTAAGGTAAAATAATACCTTTTCATTAATATTTTATTATTATATCTTCTCGTTTTATCCTATGTATGTACATCAATAGCAATTTTATAATATAATATGAAAGAATTGATGCAAGCTGTTCTTTTTAAGCATTTTTATATTATATCTAAAGATTGAGCTCTATGAATGTGGTATTCGAATCAAATTGTAGTGGTTAAGAGATGAATTGTAAATATTTGAGAGATACTAAGTAAATAACTTTTTTGTATGAATGAGATTTGAGTAAAATGATTTTTTTTGCTTTCTCTCTCTCAAATTCTCTTAATATATTTTTTGTTTGCCATTGTGTTGGTATTTCATATGTATTATAAAATGTGGGAATCTCCATGCAATAAGAATATAGCTTAAACAAAAAACAAATAAAAAATAACAGAAAAAAGTAAATATTAATAAAATGAAAAAAGAAAAGAAAATTTCAAACACAAGGTAAGGTAGGTAATAAATCAAAGTTATAAATATGAACTTTTTTGTTGTTTTATGTGCGCAGGTAAAAATTTTTTAGGGTATGTATGTTACTCTTTATTTAGATTTTTGTCAGTCGATAATTTACTCTCGCACTGTGAACGTGTAAAAAGTTGATTATAAAAAAATTCAAATAATTTGAATAGTTATTTTTATGTGAAAATTAAATTAATGAACAGACATTGTATAAAAAATATAAAGTACGCAAAATTTTGATTTGTCGTAAAAAAAATTGAAATTTAAATTCGTATTTATAGTGCATAGTGCATAGAAAAAAACGAAATAAAAATGCCAAGACCGTCCAGAGAATCTTATGGTGATCAAAAACCACCGTTCTCATATATCTCATTAACGGCAATGGCTATATGGAGCTCACCACAAAAAATGTTACCATTAAGTGAAATATACAAATTTATAACTGATAAATTCCCATATTATCGTAAAAATACCCAAAAATGGCAAAATTCATTACGCCATAATTTAAGTTTTAATGATTGTTTTATTAAAATACCACGTAATGCAAATAAAGCTGGAAAAGGTTCATATTGGACATTACATCCGAAAGCATTTGATATGTTTGAAAATGGCAGTTTATTGCGCCGTCGGCGACGCTTTAAAGTTCACAAATTAGAAAAAGAAATGTTAAATGATGAATTAGCTGCTTTAGCAAACTTCAACAGATTCTTTTTATCACAACAACGACATCCACATCATCATCATCATCCACACCATCACCATCAACAACAAATGTCAACAACATTAACCCCAACAGTTCCACAACCAACACATTGGAATCCATCCTTAGCAGCTTCATCTCAATATGGATTAAATATTCATCAATTAGGCACGCCATTAATAGCACAAACATCATCAAATATTAATTCCACATTTGCAGTACATCCACCATCAATTTCACCAGAAATATCAAGTAGATCATCAATGGAATCACCACCAATAAATACGAATCAAACATCATTGATCTCATTTACAACAAATAATAATAGACCCAAACGTGCGTTTACAATTGAAAGTCTAATTGGACCCGATAATAATAATATAACAGAAGAAATTAATATCACTGATAATTCAGATTCAGAAGATGATGCTAAAGATATTGATGATGACAATGATGATGATGATGATGAAGAAGAAATTAATGTAAGAGATATATCACCATCACCGCAATCATTTACTATATTAAATACACCAATTGAATTAGAAACAGAACAAAGAAATCAAAACTCTATAGATATGAACAGGATACCAAATTTACAACATCAAATACATTTAGAACAACAAAATCAACGACAAATTTCTCAGTCATTATCAACTAATAATAATTTTCAAACACATCCTGGAATATTAAATTTCCAATCGCAAAATAATTTATTACCACCAACATCAATTTATCCAACAGCTGAATCAATAATGAGATATCAAGCTGTTATGATGCATCAATTACAAAATCATCATCATCAACAACAACAACAACAGCAGCAACAGCAACAGCAGCAACAAAATCAACATCAACAAAATTTAGTTGCCGCCGCTAATTTATTACGCCACCAAAGAGATATTTACAATAGTTATATTGGACCATTGCCAGTTTTTTGAAATTAAATTCAAATATAATTTTAATTATATATTACATTAAATAAATGTTATATTGAAATTTGTGATGTGAAACTTCTCCCATTTCCATGGAAATTTTAAAATATATGTATATGCATATATGTATATCCCTGTAACATTATTTTGAGACGTTGTAAAAAGTTTTCCTTATTAAAATAATCATAAAATATGTAAATAAAAAACGTTCATTTTATGTTAAAAAAAAATAAGACAAACCTAATTATTTTAGTGCAATTTTATGTTATTTATTTGTTTAAAAGATTTATCAAAGTATAAAGAGAATCATAAATAGTTTATTATTAATTGTTTTAGTTTCGTAGTAAGTTTAATAATTGTATGAAAAGCATTAATAGAGAAACTACATTAATGAAAATCTTTAAAAAATTAAGTAAAAAAAAAAAAACAAAAATTTAAGAATAAAAAAATAAGTAGTGAAAAATAAAAATTAAATTTCTTTCATTTAATTTGTTTACGAGAATTTCTTCAAGCACGTGACTGACACCTAAAGGACGTAATATTTAAATCAAAAAAATATTGTACGATGTGTGTACATACTTGTAAAACATTTATAAGAAATCTCTTACAGTTAGGAGTGAGTAAGTCAGTAAAGCACTTGGTTTATGGTTAGTCTACACATTCAAGTGTTTTTTTTATTTACATTTACCTTTCTCATACTAATCCAATTATATACTTCATTTAATATCGAATACCCATTTATTTTTAAATACTACTTGGTAAATGTTTAAACAAAAATCAAATATACCACAAATAACTTATAACTTTTAATGTACAAAATATGTAACTTGTTTGTGACAATTCTTTGATTCTATTGAGATTGTTTTTTCAACTTTTATTAAGAAAATCTGCTAACTATCGTAATGTTTGAAATCTCCCATAAATTTTTTTCATAAATAAATACATAAATAGATAAGATTACCAAAAAACAAATCACTAAAAATTTCGGTTCATTACACTTATACTAAGCTTTTTTTTCTTACTATAAGAAATTATTATTATGGGTGTTTACAGTTTTTTGTCTAAGTGCATAATTGTTATTCAGAACTTCAAAATATCCTGATTAAAATCAGGGTTCAATTTAAAAGGTCCAAGTAACATTGCGTTACGCAATTTGGTTATTTTAGGAAATTTGGTATTCAAACGGGATTTACTAAAAGAATGATTTCCTTTTTATTCAGGACAAAATTTTGAAAAATTTTAATTTCTTATATTTAATATGATCTTTAATATTTTTAATAATATAGTTCTCACTAAGTGCCGAATTTACAGTTCGAAAGATAATTAAGTGATGTGCGTATAATACCTAAAAAACATGTTCCAAAATCATAATGTTTTGGCAATCTATGTGAAAACTGCTATAGTATAAACTGAGATTGCTATTACTATATATAGTAATTTCAATTTCGGCTGACTAGAAATGCAAACATAGTCCAAAATTATATGTACCTACATACATATATACAAATATATGTAATGTACAACAAGGTAACTTATACTAATATTGATAATTATATTAATAAAACTATACATTAATATTTAATAAAATTACTATATACATAAATGTATATTTTTTTTTTTTTTTTTATTTTTTTATGAATTAAATATTCTGGTTCAAAGTTATATACATATATTAAATGTAATATTAAGATTTTAAAAAATTTAAATGCTGTGCGCAATAATTAAAACACAACAAGCTAACTTGTTAAAAAAATGTATTTTTTTAATAAATGTAAAACATTTAAACGACAGAAAGAAAAAGTATGTAAAAATTACCAGCGATATAATTAATATATAGAGGTCAAACATAGGAATCTGAAAAGCAGAAGCCACTATTAAGGTAAAATAACAAAAAATAAAACTAACAAATGGAACCCAAACGTTTTTGCAGCACAAAACTTAGTGGTAATACAGAATGGAATGTGGGGAATTAGGGACAGATTTTGACAAAGTTGCATAACTCTACAATATTTCCTTCACAAGTACATCATATACGGCAATAGAAGACTTTAAATATTATCTTAAATATTTAAAAAACTCGATTTTATCATATTGAAAATTTATTAAAATGTTCTAATTTTAAAAACGCACCTAATTTCTTTTTATTTTATTTTCTAATTACAAATCAGTACGATCTGCAAATTTGAAAAATAAATGAAAACCATAAAATCTTTAAAACGCATTCCTATAAAATGCCATTTTTTGATTTTACGATACTATAGTATTACGAGGGTGCAACTTACTCTCGTTTTATACCTATTGAAGGATAAGTACTTCACTAAAGGTAAATTTTAGGTTAAATGGTGTTTTTAACTATGGGCGTAATTCAATCTAAAGCAAAATAATAAAAATAAATATTGAATAATTCTGTAGATTTACTTGACTTGATTACGAACTTATGAAATGGAAAATTAATGTAATATTGTAAACTTTCCACTTGTTTATGATTCTTCATGATTAAGGCCATTAAAAAATTTGAAAATGTTGTCCTATTCAAAAAGAAAAAAACATATTGGAAGTTAATTTAATTTTAATTATAAATCAATGAATGTCTTTAAAATAATTAACACAAAAAATTTGTAGTCTTATCTATTGCACCGTTTTTGTTAATATAAGTAATCCATAGTGTAAAATTTATTATAAATTTATTTAAAAATTTGTTTTATTTTACAACATTTAATAACTTCCTTAGTAGTTACAAAATACTATACAATTAAGTGCCTTCTAAAAAGTTTTATAATAGAATAAAATGTATAAACACATACATATATAGTAGTACATATAAGTAAACTTTCCAATATTTAGTAAGTAGATTATATTTGATAATGATATTCAAATGATCACCCAAAACACAGCATCAAATTAACAAAAATTTTTGAAACTACAAGGTTCATATAAATAAAATTCTTATGATCGCATGAGCATTACATAAGCTTATATATATATATACATATATTTTCTAAATAAATTTAAACAACAAAAATATATATTCTGTCGCAAACTCAAAAAGATGTAAAATATATTAAAAGAAATCAGCTTACTTATACTTAGAAGAAAGCTGGTAAATGTTTAAATAAAATAAAAAAATGTAAATATGAAAATTGAGCCATTTATTTAGCGCACAAATTTTTTACTTTAGTAAAAGAAATTATTTATGCGCCAGGAACATATTCATTCGAATGCTAAAAAAAGTTATAAAAGTCAAAATTGTCTTAATTGACGAATTAAAAAAAAAATTCTTCTTTTTATGTTAATCAACGTTTTATTGGTTTTTTTCACATTTACAACTAAATATTTACTCGTTACGCTTTTTAATTGTTTCTGACATATTTTTTGCTATATTACTTCATAATATTTTATATAATGTTACATCTTAGAAAATCGCTTTATAGCATCTATTAAGTGAGTCGAATTGTAATCTAAACTCATTTATATTATCTACATACTTAATATATAGAGCATTATTAAATAATTTTAACTAATTTATATCCCAATTTTTTTCTAAATCCCTGATTAAAATATATGTATATACACAAATAATTTAGTAATTATTTTACATTTAGCTTTTTTATATATAAGTATATAATATTAGTTTTAACAGTAAAAAAAAATCCAACAACAAATAAATCGTGAAGCAAAATACAAGTAATATGTGTTGGCTTCCAAAAACAGAGAATGTTAATAACATTTTTTTCTTTTTATAATTCACAAATTATAATAGTTCATAATATAATAAAGAAATTTTATACTGATTCTAGATTTATTTTAATTTTAAACATAAAACACAAATCGATAATACTTTTATTAAAAATTAAAGAAGATATATATTTTTTAGTGGAAGATATTTAGGCAAAACAAATAACATTGTATTCGTATTCCTCATTCAAATGTTAGAGATATTGAGGTAAAGGGCAAAACAGGACATGAAGGCTCTAATTGCAGAGCTGTTGCCATACAATCAGCAGATGCGGTATAGTCCCCAAGAGTTTCTAGTACTTTGCCTAAACTAAACCATATTTTTGGACAATTTGGATCTAATTTTGCTGCATCTTTTAACATTTTTTCAGCTAAACGTGGTTCTCCCAATATATGATGAGTTTCACCCAAATATCGTAAAGCATCGGTATGACATGGATTTGCTGCTACTGCATTTAAAAAGCATTGTTTCGCATCTGTCCATTGAGATAGATAAACGTATACTTGTCCGCGCATAAACATAATTTGGTGAGATAATGGATAAATTTGTGAAGCCTCTAATATACAGTTGAGGGCTTCATTTGGTTGATCAATTGTTAAATATATATCAGCTAATAGCAGCCATACCTTTAGTTGAATCATCCACGCACTCTGAGGACCTGATCTTGGGTTAAAAGAACTTAACGAACTAGCCACTTCACTCAACGCTTGTTCAACTCGAGATACTGCTGCTACAGAAGCTGCATAAATTGAATTAGAATCTTTATCTGACAATTGCGATGAATGTTGTAATTGAAGAAGACTTCTGGTGTCAGATTGTCTTTCCGCGACATCATTTTCATTATTTGTGCCAACAGCCTGCATTTCATACAAATCTCTCCATAATGAAAGCATTTTTTGAACAGTCATTAAAGAAGTTTCCGGATCATACAAATAAAGTTGCAGGTGGGCTTTAACATGCAACAAGTTCAAATTGTCTGGAAATTCTTGCAAAGCATCCTCAATAACAGATAAAGCTTCTCGGGGACGGCGACTTGCTGTTAATAACAAACCAAACAAATGTAAACTAGGTGCATGCTCTGTCCTTAAGTTGAGTGCATTTCCTATGTGAACTAGCGCTTCAGGAATGTTATAATTAAATGCATGTTGTAGAGCTAAGTAATATGCAGCTAAATGGTCATTTGGGTCGTTTTGCACAGCTTTTTCAAGAGCTTTCAATGCCAAAGCACTATATTTTTCTTTTTCGGATCTCAGTGTCGCATTTACGGCATTTTGTTGTAGTCCAATTCCTATATAAAGTTGGGTTCGTGTTGGATGAATACCCTTTACTCCTTTCATCAAGGCTTGCTCAGAATGTTGAAGACCTTTTTGAATTAAACCCAAATGTTCATAACATAATCGTGCTGACAAAAGGCATAAAACTGGATCATTTGGTGCCAGTTTGGAAGATTCTTTCAAGGCTTTAATAGCATGCGAATGTCGATTTAAAGAGACGAGACTTAAAGCATATTGTCCCCAAACGTGTTGCTCGCAAAATGTAAATTTTAATGATTTTTCAAAAGAATCGTTTAACAAATTTATTAAATTCCAGCGCACTGTAGCTAAAGTTAAAAGATCGTACACAGCAGTTGCATTACCAAGCGCATGTATTCGAGCAACCCTAAATTCGGGACTTTGCGAAAGAACGGCATCGCGTACTGCTAAAGATTCAGAAATAAGCAAAAGTAATATAGTTTCTTCATGTTGATTTCTCGGCACAAAAAAATTACGTCCAGAATATTTTGTAGGTTTCCATAATTTTTTTGCTGAACCGGATTTAGATGAAGACAAATTTTTCGGTGGGGTGTAAATTGTTCCAGAAACACCACGTAATAATACTTCGGCTAATTGACGAGCCAATGTCAGTCTTAAAGATTGTGTAGTACGAGTTTCAATAGCATTCAACATTACACGATATCTTTCAACAGCTTCTTGAAGTTTTCCTGTTTTTATAAGAACTATTGGCGCACGTTGTAATGCTGTTTCTAAAATCGTTCCCATTCTACGTGTAGAAGAACTTTCGCTACCTACTAAAACAGGTTGGGACATATCTTGCTCTTGAAGATATAATAATCCTAAATCAGTAGCGCGTTCAAAACAAGTTATCATTTCTGTTTCCTTTTCTGCTTTTTTAAATTTAGAAGATGCTCTGGAAGTTTGATGCTCTAAACATAGCCCCTTAATTGCATATGATTCGGCTAATATTTTTAAACTACGCAAAGTTAATTCCTTTTCTGATAGTGTATTTAACTCAGCTTTAATAAAATTCTCTAAACTTTCTTCATATTGACCACAAGCATAACACAATTTGGCTAGCAATAAATAAGCATCCAAAGCGATGCCAGCACGACGTCCATCGTCTCCAGTAACTAAACTTAAACATTGTCTGGATTCTTGTAAACCAGTTTTCGCTTTGGTAAAATTTGTTTCTATAGGATCATTCTCTTCTAAATAATTTTCCAAATACCCTTCTCCGAGAAGAAAGTTTGCTAAGCATTCACAATTTGGAGAGCTAATTTTCAATTCCTCTGCTAATTCTATTACTTTTTGCCATTTCCCCTCACTTCGGCAGCTTTCAATTAAAGCTTCGACCTTACTTGTGTTTCTAACTCGATTTGTCATTTCACTTTAATATGTACTTTACGTATCCGCAATTGATCGTAAATTCTAAAATAAAAGTTTAGTTTTTAGAATACAATCAGTACAGTACTCACACTTATGCTTTTATAATGCATAAGTAGTTATGTAAAATTAATCAATAATATGTAGTTTATAAATATAATAAATGCTACATTCATTTTAATGTGTAAATAATATTATTTTGCAGTTATAGTTAATACATGTTACTTATTATAAACTTAAAATATATTTGAAATGTGTTTAATTTTACTAAAAAATTCTAGCCACCAAATTAACTATAAACCCGTGTCAGAAAGTGAAAAGTTATATGTTCATTTAAATAACTTTATAATATTAGAAATAAAACCTTTGAAAGTAATAAATCTAGAATAAATATTAATGCAATTAAAAAATATTAATAATTCAAGCAAATAACCTACATAGATGTACATATACTAAAAATCCAAAGTACGTAATGTACTTAAGTAGTGTAGTAACCTAAACCAATATTATGTATGTATATTAAAACTTGTGCAATTATATTAAAATTAATTTATTATATTCAATAATCAAACCAAAATGAAGGCTAGTGTAAATTGAATGTGAAAAAACTCTGTTTTACAAAATATGTAGCCATTCATTAGTAAAATAGTTCATATTTTTATTTTCAATATTATCTGAGTATTTACGAAGATGAGGTAATAAAGCAAATTTTGTAAAATTGTTTTAATTATATAACTTGGCATAAAAACATTTTAAGCAAATATTTCAAATATTGTACTATTATAATATAAGAGACCTATTTCTGATTTTATTTTAAAATTAACTTACCTTTAAAGACTATTTCACACTTTAATATTATTATAATAGTTATAGTTTCTTTTAAGTTAATTTATTTTATGACATTTGATCCGACTGATAAGAGAAAGATATTTGTTAACAGCTGATTTTGAAGTTATCAAGGCTGCCAATAGCACAGGCAACTAATTCTTAAAAACAATCAATGAAACAACAACCCAGCGGCGAAATTGTGAAGCTTCTTAAATTTTTTATCATGTTTTATGTAAAATCCCAAATTAGTGTCTGCTGAAAATACTAGAATTTTTAATTTTAAAATAAAAAATTTACAAAAAATTGATTGTTTTAGTTTTTTAGCTTTTTTAACACATTTTGTTTTTGATGAACTGTCATCCTTTTCAGTGTTCCGTTTTTAACCCTGTATTTTACCCAGCATTTACACGTACAAGTTACTTGCAAGAAAGTTGCAATACATACAAAAATTTTACTAACACATTGAAATATTTCTACTTGCTTGTTTACTTGCAGTTCAACTTGCAAGAAAATTTTGCTGCCAGTAATTTGAGCAAGTAATTTGACATATTGAGAAATTCACAAAAAAAAATTTGTTGTTTTGATTTTTTTTTTTTTAATTTAAAATTTTTGAATTTTGTTTTGAAAAAATTAAACTTAGCAAACTTATGGTTTCTAAAATTTATAAACAATTATATATATTGCTAGTTGTTTTCTTCTCAAAGACATTTTCAAAAATTAACTTGCTAAACGCCTACGTCATAATGTTATTGTTTATTTTGCTCAATTAAACACCAATTATAAAAACAGAACCAAAAGACAGACGATTTCCGTTATCAATCCAAGATAAGGGATAAGGGTAAAATGAACTGGTCAGTATTTTGCATGTAATGTTATACAAACATATTAGTAATTCAGTCTGTAGCAGCGTGAAATTCGTAGAGCAGTCCTATTTAAATATATGTAGATACATACATATATGTTCTATATGAATTTGGAATATAAATACAAAAGCTGCACAAAATAAAAGACGTCCGAAGGAAAAACGCAAAGTAGAGCGGTTTTCAAATTTTCTGCTTTTTTTAAATTGATGTCATAATTCGATTTGCAAAAATTAAATAATTTGGTTGTTTCTATAATGCTACCCAATAGTCACCGTTAGACGTGTTAACCAAGTTGATTTTGTTGACATTAGATTTAGAGCTTGGTAAGGGCGCTAGAAGTGAAACAGGAAAGAGTCATCATTTTGAAACCATGCTTGAGTACATATCCCCAGTTATTTCATTCCCATATTTCCATATTCCCAGTTCAGTGCACATGCAGTTATGTGCTTTTTTTAATCACTTTTAAATAAAATTCTTGATTGTATTTTAATCTACAACCATTAATTTTCTGAATTGAATTTTCTTATTTTTTCCTCAAAAAATGAGATCGATTTTAACTTGTCGCCTTTAAGTTCATGTGTAAAATCAAATGGGCTAAATAGTATTTTTGTGTTATACATGTGAACAATCAGATCCTGAATTTTTTTGTTATAGCATATTTCTGGCGACTCACGTTTTAAGAAAAAGTGAGCTTTACTAAAGATCTTTGATAAAATACAAATTAGGATTTCAATTTACAAAATGTGATTTCGATCGAGGTTTATTAGCACATATACTTAGAATGAGTAGCATTTTTCATTAAAATTGAATAAATAAAGTGAAATAATTAATTGAAAAATAAAAGATTTCTTTTTAATATTTTTTGCTAATTTAATTTGTTTCCATTAAAAAAATTTCAGAAGTAATAACCTTATTAACTGTTACTAAGAAAACTATTGTACATATTTTATAACATAAATAAGTCTAATAATTTTTATGAAAATGTGTTGAACTATATTCAAATTAAAACAATAAAAGAAATATAAATTTCTAACTAAGGTTAAATTATTTATATTTTCTTCAAACTATGTAAGTAATATTTTAACTTACTAATGAAAATCTTTTATATGTATTAGTTTTGATTAAAAATTTTAAAACACATCACCTAAGCGACGGGATATTACTCATAAATCTATTTTAAAAAACATAAATCTCGAAATTTGAAATTCTATATTAGTAAGAAAGATACTTTTGAATAATATCCTATTACTTCAATTGAGGCGTCTAAAAGGGTGAATATGACAAATTGCTATTGTCATTTGGCTTCAGTCTAAAAATTTTTAAAATTTTAAATATAATCACTGCTTTAATATAATAACCAAATTATAAATTAGATTTATAAGATAATAAAAAAAAAAAATGTAAGAAAATTTAACTTGATTTTATTGGCTACTCCAAAATGTCTTCAGGTACGTGTTTTTGTAAAAGAGTTTCTGCTTTCTGAAATATGTTAATGGCATCTTTTTGAGCTAAGAAATTTCTCATATCTTCATAGTTATCTTTTTTCGGCCGTTGAATGTAATTTTCAAGTTCATCTGCTGAGCCGTCACTATCATTATTTTCACTTTCACCTTCCAAATCTTTATTCACCGTTTTTAGAACATCTTTATCATTTAGATTATCAATATTAATCTCTATGAGTTTATTAATATCAATACCTTTTGATTCTAAAACTTTTTTTTCTTTCTCAAGCATATCTTTTTTGATTGGGTCAATTTTCAATTTTAATTGTTTCAAAACAGGTTTAAATTTTCCTTTTGTAATTTTTTCATCTAAATTAATTAATTCAAAGTCGTTATAACTATGCTCATTCAATTTTTCGTTATTCACTCCCTCACAATCCTGAACATAAGCAAAAAAGTCATCTTTTTTTTCATTTTCAAACTCATAATTTTTAAAACCTGAATTAGAATCATATTCTGATTGCTGAATATCTTTCTCCAAATCTGAATTTTCAGATTCGTTTGATTCTATATTAATATTCAAAAACTTATTATACACTATTATAAGTCTATGGAAATCATTGCAACACAGTTCTAAAGAACTTTCAATAGCTCTCATACTATTTGCAATATCCAATAAGCAATTTCCCTCATTTGTTTTTTCTTCACTAGAATTTTCAGTGAATTTAATCTCGTCTACTTTTTGTAAAGATAAGTCCAATTTTTGGCATTCTTCAGCTACTGCTATTATACAAGAACTCAGTTTCATCGACGATTCTTTAAGTACTGCGATTGGACCTGATTTTGACAAGCTTGTTTGTTGTTTATGTATGTTAGATATTTCAAATTGCTGTTTTGCTTTTAATTGTAATGATAAGTTTACAAAGTGTTCATCTTCCTCATTAATATGTTGCTGAATGAGACGCTGCATTTCAGGAATATCTTCGATAATGAAGGGTATTTTGTTATACTGACATACGGTCAATGCAACCCGAAGTAAAAACTGCGATTGTACATATGAATATATATTATAAAAATCCTAAAAAAAATAATTGCTTTTAAGTTTGACAAAAAAATTGAAACTCGGAACCTTTATGTTTTTGGGAGTGAAATCAGTAACGTTTTTATTAAAATAATCTGATTCTCTTAATTCCTCCATTGGAAAATAAAACTCATGGTATTTTGGTGACAGCTTATAATTTTCTTCCAATTTTCTCGTTGCATCGTACAAAATATCAATAACTTCTTTAACAGATGTGATGCAATCCCAAGCTCTTTCTATTTGCCTGGACCTAAAATTGTTACTAATTAAAATCAAATCGAAATTAAATTATTATTTTATTTTATTAATTGAATAGAAGCATATCAATAGCACTCAAAAACAGTTTTTGTTTAAATAAAGATGTTTAAACATGTAGACAATTAGTTTCAGATTAAACATATCAAATAGTGTCTTACTCTATTAATTCCTTAGGTTTCATGACTAGAATTTCATTGAAGTACATTATATTTCTTTTAATACAATTTCCAAAGTTGTCTAGAGCTTGAATGAATTTATCCATTTGTCTTTCAATATATTTTAACCTTACATCATTAATTTTTTTTGCAATATATAAACTACAAAAGCCTCCAGCAAACAATGAAACAGGTAGAAATGTAAATTTAAAATTGCGAGGTGTGACAAATTTATGTAGGATGGAGCTGATCACAATAATTGATGCATTGCGCAATGTGAAATATTCTGTTGATTGATCTAGAGCAAAATATGGAAGACTTAGTTCTAATGATTCTACATGATCAACTAATAATCTTTTTGAATACAAAATTTGATTTACAATTCGAAAGGCAAATTTCTAAAAAAAAACGACAAATTTAGTGAATTATATCACACTATGATTATATACACTCCGATTATATAATGATTTTTACCTCTTTCTGATCCAATTCCTTAACACAAATATTTTTACAAAATGTCCAAAAGCCATCATCCTAAAATAAAAAATTACGAAGTGAAAACCTATATGCCATTTCAGTTGAAACTTTATTTTACCCGTGTTTTAGTTTTGAATGAATTCATTGGCAACTTGGACAGTTTTTCCCCAGAATTCTGCATAGTTTTCAGTATAAACGTTACTTCTATATGCCCACTTGATAAATAAACCAAATCAGAAATTTAAAAAACATAAAATATATAATGCGATTTTTAAAAAAAATAAGAAATATGCAAGTATGTGCGAAATTTGAAAATCTATTAACTAAGCTTCCTATTTTGTCACTTCAAATTTGTATTTTTAATATTATGTTCAAATTTGACAATCAACGAAAAAAAATTGCTTTTCCTCTTACATACCTTTAGAAATGACATACCAGGGATACTTAAAATTTTGACATGACACATAACAAGACCTTGCATGCACACATATATAAATTATCGGGCATAAACAATAGACTGGCAATGCGCAAAATATTTCATTTCATAGAATAGTTTACTGTCAAAATAAATTTTTGTACCCCCTAAAAATTTAGTGCTTTTCTTACTTTAGTAACTGATTAGTATCAAATAATAACTATAAGCAGCAATGTTTGTTTTGTGAAATTGTAACAAGAAAAAAATTTAAAATTAAAATAATTTAGAAGTAAAAGTTTAAAATGTTGCCTTTGTAAAAAACATTCATATATAGATGACCCAGTTTGATATCCAAACCCTGCTTGAAATCAGACTAATTTTTATTTTTTTTTATAATTTTCATAACGGCAACTAATTTTTTGTGGGAGTTTTGAACAGTGATTAGCAGATTTTTGGTCTGTCGGGGATAAAACTTGAAAAAACTTTGAAATGAGAAACGTAATTTCTCGCAAAAAGAAAAAAATCTCATTTAAAAATAAACCAAACGGGAATCTTCCAAAAACTTTTAAAAACATTACAAATATGTGATGAAGGTAAAATTTCAAAGTATTTATCAAGCATAAACAAATATTTTTTGGTTATACCAAAAACCGAAAATTTTGATTTTGAATTATAAAAGTGCGAAACTAAGAAAAACCATTTAGAAACCATTTTGTTTATTTTATTTTATTGTTAATTAAAATGTTTTGAAAAAAAATTATTGTTGATGAACAATTGTTTTTTCAAAAATAAAACCCTTTGACATAACCAAGAAAAACAAGTTTTTAAAAACTTATACTAGACCTTTTATTTTTAATATTCATACATGATTTTGATATGAAAGAAAATGAAGTAATTATGTAGTTACATTTTGAAGAAAAGCTCCAAAAGTCCAAATAATTTCACTTTAGTTTGTACACAGATTTAATTTTGGATTTACAACGTCATCTAGCAAATTAATATTTTAAATTATTCTCCCCTTTTCAATTACCTTTTTTTTCAAAATTTAAACAAATGGTTGATACCCAAGATTGGTTGTATGGTTGTTTTTCAAAAAAACGCTAGATGTCGCGAAATGGTCATTTAATATTGTATCATAACAAAAATGATATCTGTATTCCAGGTGCTGTAATTTTCATGATATTAAAAAACTTGGGGGTATAAAACTTAAGAAAAAAACAATTTTTATTTCTTATTGTTTTGATAATTTCATTATATTTATTGACCTAAGTACGTTAATAAATTTTGTATTGTACATTAATGAGAACAGAATTAAATTTCTGTAGTATGGTGCTTTATTTTAAATATGTACAATAGATTCTACATAACTAATATTAAATTTTTCAATTGTTTACAACATCTAGGTGTTTTTCCATTACATATTCTGTCAAATATTTTATTGTTTCACATTGTTCTCGCGTTGGCCATTGCTTTATAATTGAACTTAGGAATTCACAAAAATTATCTGTTGCATCTTTTCTTTTTTCCAATTTTTCTTTAAATATGTCAATACACTGTGTTATTTTTTTGTCCAAAATATCATTTTCTTGCAATATTAATCTTTTATTTGAAGGTTCATCATAACTATCAGACTTTCTTTTTGATGTACTCTGGGTAACTAAGAATTTCTCAGATTTCTCATCTTCAAAACTAACTTTTTCAAAACTTGTTGGAGTTGTTCTTAAATCTTCTTGATCAAATTGAGTCCAATCTTCAGATTCATATTTTTGTGGTACATTTAAAGGAATATCAGAACTTTCATGAGCTTCCTTCTCTATATATACATTTTCTTCGTAATTTATGGGGTCACTTTCGTTGTACTCTTCTGTGATCAATTCTTTGGCAGTTTCAAAAGGATAAGATCTTTTTTGCCCGACATAATCTTTCAGGAATAAAAGTTTTTCAAAATATGGCCAACCTATAGTTACACTATCGGTTTCAGATTCTCGTGCCTTTTTTAAACATCTTTGGAACGTATCACGGAGCGATTTCCACCTACTTCGAATAATTTTAACTAAAACAAAAATTTTAAATGTATACATTTATAAATATTTTGTTGATTTTTGTAATTTATCTTACTATCAACATTCATTTTTTCAGCAATACTTTTCCATGCTTTTGCTCTAAAATCCGTGGCATTACTGCTACTAGATGCTCTACTGTATAGCTCAGGATGCATTTTTATTAAACTAATTAATTTATTTGAATCTAATCTCTCCATTTTTAAAACGTAAACTAACAAAATATTCGCATTACAAATGAAAAACAAACAAGCTTTTATTGTTTTAATGCGTTATGCTAAATAAAATATATTATGCTATTATGACATTTGTGACTTGACAAAGTTGATTTCTACCAGCAGTTTTTCTGTTTGTCAATAGCGCTCTCATTTTAACCAAAACAGCAATTCAAAATATTGTGCGGTAATGTACTTGGTATGCGTTATACGCTTGTTAATAAATATATTTGTCCTCTATGTATTTAAGCGTACACAATTAAATAAACTTGCCAATCGTCAAACGAACCGAGTTTGAAATTTGAATTCAAAATGAAAAATTATTTTCATTATTTTTGACGTTTTATTCAAAGCTTAATCAATAAATATATAATCCAGCATACTGCTATTTGGATTTGCCGCAATAACGCAACTAATATTTATATATTACCCAGCATTTACACATACAAGTTACTTGCAAGCAAGTTTGTATAATATTAATTGTCAATTAGTTTTTCGAAATGTCAAATTACTTGCTATTATGACGTAGGCGTTTAGCAAGTTAATTTTTGAAAATGTCTTTGAGAAGAAAACAACTAGCAATATAATATAATTGTTTATAAATTTTAGAAACCATAAGTTTGCTAAGTTTAATTTTTTCAAAACAAAATTCAAAAATTTTAAATTAAAAAAAAAAAAAAAATCAGAACAACAAATTTTTTTTTGTGAATTTCTCAATATGTCAAATTACTTGCTCTGGCAGCAAAATTTTCTTGCAAGTTGAACCGCAAAAAAACAAGCAAGTAGAAATATTTCAATGTGTTAGTAAAATTTTTGTATGTATTGCAACTTTCTTGCAAGTAACTTGTACGTGTAAATGCTGGGTTAGTTTTGGCTATTCAATAAATTAATTTTTTATTTTTTCTAAAATTTTTTATATTTTCTAAATAATAAATTTTTTCACCAAAAATCAATAAATTTTTTCACCAAAAATTAATAAATTTTGACATTTACAAAATTCTTTTAATTTTAAATCAAGTTATTTTGAAACCAGCCACAAAGCTTATTATTTATTTATCCAAATTTAATTAAGTTTTTTTTAATTGTGTTTCGGACCTTAAAGTGTTAAAATTTTTTTTTGCAAAATATGCTCATTTTAAGAGCAAAAACATATTATTAAATAATATGACAATAACACATTTAATTTCAATTTGTAAAAAAAGTTTGCGTAAAGAGAAAATAAATTAATGAGTTTTGCTTAAATTTCCTTTTTTACAGATAGCATTTTATATCTTTAATATTTCAATTGACAGATATTATAGATGTAAAATATTTATTAATATTTTAAATTTTTGGCTTTAAAGAGAAACAATTTTTGTGTTTATCGGAAACGGAAAGTGAAAATTATGTCAAATATTCACGCAAATATTCATTAGCTGTCATGTAAACACAGCTAATGAATTTCTGTACATAAATGTAGGTTCAAAGTTTTGTGTTCGCATTTTGTAATATTTTTGGTTTTATATATTTGGTAATACCAATTCTGACATATTTAAGTTACCTGAGAAAAAAAAAATTGCAGTGTCCAAAAAGATCGATAGCTTTAGAAAAATTTTTAAAGAAAATATTTAGTTTTTAGTTTTTCAAAACTAAAAGGCATAACTTAAACTATTATTTAGAGTTTTATACAATATCATTTAATTGAAGCTAGATTTTGCGGCTACCATATTGTGTATGAAAATGCGCTATGACAGCTTTCCCAGAATAAATGTCCAGGTTTTAATTATATTAATTTCATTATGCACAACTCAAATCTTGGCTGATATAGGCGATCCTTATAAAATTCTGGGAGTGTCAAGACAAGCTACAACTCAGGAAATTCGAAGAGCTTATAAGCAATTGGCTAAAGAATGGTAATGATTTTTCCTAAAAATAAAAAATTTTTGTTTGTCAGATGTGTACTGAAAATGATAACAAATGCATGTACATATATATCTTTTTAACGTATAAATAATTTTTAAGGCATCCTGATAAATCTGCAAATCCTGACGCGGAAAAGAGATTCGTTGAAATAAAACAAGCTTATGAGCTTTTATCAGATTCAGAACGAAGACGAGTTTATGACCAGCATGGTATAACTAATGAAGACTCGCATATGTTTCGTCAACGACATGATTATAGCCAGTATGGGAGATTTGCAACTGACCCATTTGAAGAATTTTTTGGACATCATTTTCATTTTGATCAAGATATAAGTTTATACCACAAATTGTCCATAACCACAAAATATTTTGATCAAAATATCATTCCAAAAAGTTCAACGGTGCCACATATATTAATGTTTTATACAGATTGGTGCTTTAGATGTATTCGAGCTGTTGGTGCCTTTAAAAAAATGATAGACACATTGGAACCTTTAGGTGTCAATTTTGCAACAGTTAATGCTGCTCATGAACAACCTTTATTGCGCAAAATAGGCATTGATGAAGTACCAAGTATGGCATTAATTTTGAACGGACATGGATATATTTACAAAGAAAATGTGTATAATGTTCAAAAAGTTGTCGGTAAGTTTTGCTGTATAGATTCTATATTTAATTAAATTTTTAACATATTTCTTGTTCAAGACTTTATTCGGAGAAAACTTCCGTATCGACTTATTCAAGGTTTAAACGATGGAACATTAAATGATTTTTTGGAAAGTTGGATGGATAATCGTGCGCGAGCACTTGTAATGGAACCTAGAGACCAACCTAGACTCAGATACTTAATAGCTGCATATGCCTTTCGTTATCGTGTAGCTTTTGGGTAAAATATAAAAATTTTTTATTGTTAAAGAAAAATTCTAAAATCAATATAGTAGCAATTTATTATAATAATTTTTCCTTTTGGAACTTTCGTTATAAACAGAAGGTTTATGTTTTCAATGTCTTAATTCAGGTTCGTCCAGTTGAATTCACCAGAAACCAAAGAAATTCAGGAGCGCTTTAAAGTTCATCCAAGTCTGGATACTCTTTTAATATTTAACGAAGACTCAACCCGGGCAGTGGCAAGTGTTTCGATGTCAGATATCCCAACGCAAACTTTAAACAATGTGATTTCCGCAAACCAATATTTAGCTTTACCTCGGCTTTCATCACAAGAAATGTTAGAAGGTAAAGTCTTGAAAATTCCTAAAAATTTTGTGCGTAATTTCTGAAAAATTTTTAAAGGCGTATGTCCAGCTGAATGGAATAGACCTAGAAAGCGTTTATGTGTAATCCTCGTTACAGAAAATACTGATGCGCATAACTATGCGAGACATGCTTTAAGGCAAATTGCTTTGCAAAGTGGTTACAGTTCCGAAAGAGTTAGATTTGCCTACATATTTCAAGTAATATTTTAAAAAATTTGAATTTATTTGAAAGTGAATATATTATTTTTTAGGACAAACAATCAGATTTTATTAGCGCTTTATCAAAAGGATCTTCAGATGACACTTTATTGAGATTAGTAATAATTTGGCGAAGGGATACATCTCATATTAAATATGAATGGGTTACTGGCACACGACTAAGTATTCAAAAGCGGGAAAATGAGTCCGACGAACAAACATTTAATCATACTAAACAAAAACTGGATGACACAATACAAAGGCTTCTGAGAGCTTCAGAAGCGTTAAGTTATGAAGCGTTAGTTAAGGTAATGATTCACTGAATATATTGCAAATTCTAAAAATTTTATTTAGAAATAAGATTTTGTTTATTACTTTATTTTACGTACTGGAAAATTGCACTTTGACACGAAAATTCCAACTGGCTCGTTGGTCTAGGGGTATGATTTCCGCTTAGGGTGCGGGAGGTCCCGGGTTCAAATCCCGGACGAGCCCCAGTTCCTAACTTTTTTTTTTGTTAGTGATTTAAATGATATTTAATTTATCCAAATTAATATTTAGAAAATTAATGATATTAATATTATTTTAAATAGTTTAATATTGAAAAGCATTGCCAATTGAGTTAGTTGCGTATTATTTTGCACGCGATAAAATAAAAATGTGTGTTCATTTAAAGATTAATGCTAATGCCATACAATTTAACAAAAGTTTTTTTTTAACAACAAATACATCATATAGCCATGCCCTTTATTATAAATGTTTATTATATTATATTTATATTATATAATGTAAATATTATATTATATAATATTTATCTTGCATATATTTATATTTATTTGTAAGAAATGTAAAACAAATATATAAAATTCTATATATATGTGTAATGCTATATTAAAGTAATGATTTTTCCAAATTTGTAACAACTGGCTCGTTGGTCTAGGGGTATGATTTCCGCTTAGGGTGCGGGAGGTCCCGGGTTCAAATCCCGGACGAGCCCAAGTAAACTTTTTTTTTTCCATTTTAAATTTTTGATTTTTGTTTTGTTTTTAATGATTTACATATGTATAATTCCTATCAATCTTTTAGGATTTGTTAGATGAACACGCTCAAGGGGCTTTGGGGAAAGTACTGAACAAATTACTTTTCTTTGTGGATTATTTAACAGATAATATTGGTCAAGAACATATACTTCCTGCGCTTTCTGTTTTAGCTACTATAGCATTCATGTTTTTAGTCGGTTATTTAATGGTTTATTTAGTTAGATTGGAAGAAGAAAACTTAAAACGCAAAGGAAAATTGGATACTAATAACGGTATAAAAATAAATGTCTCTTTAAAAATTCAATTCTAACTAATTTCAATTTTTATAGTTTTAAAAAAAGCTTATCAACTTTTTTATTTTGGTAGTTTTAATTTATTTTTTAAAGTTTAAAAAATAATTAAAAAACTCTTATTTTAGACAAAAAGTTGGGATCATACGTACCGGAATTAAAATTACATGAGTTAAGGGCTGAAAAATACAATGGTATGGTTCGACTATTAAAGCCAGGGTGTCGAACAATAATATTAGTAACAGATTTGCAATCTCGTCCAAAATTAATACCCGGATTTCATAAGGCTGTTTGGCCTTATCGTAAAAATAAAACTTTATTATTCGGACATATGCTGATTGAAAAGGGATTGAGTTGGTATGCAGAGTTACTAAGATTATCGTTATCAGAATCGCGTGACTTACAAATTAATCCCCGTAATTGCATTGGTACTGTTATCGCTTTGAATGGTCACAGGAAATATTTCTGCATGTATCATGCAAAACATCCAGAATCCAAACGTGGTGCCAAAGTAAGTTTCAAATTATTTTTTAACAATTTTTCAGATTTTATTTACAATAAAAGAGTGTTTTTTTTTTAAGTTTGTCTAACATGTAAAAAATAATTTTTTCAGAGAATGTTAAAAATGACGCGTCGGTTGACAAGACGGAATGATGATCCAGAAGCAGGAGCTTTTCTCGGTATGGACAGCGCATCTGACGATTCTGATACAAGTGAATTTGAATCAAAAATACTTCTTGAAGAAAACTTATTAGACGGTTTAAGTAATTGGTTAGATCGCTTATTTGAAGGCACAACACATCGATATTATATAAATTATTGGCCAGATTTCCCTACAAAATAAAAAAAATTGTAACCCTCGCTCGAAAATATCAAAAAGGCAATTTAATCTGAAAATAAATAAAATGAAATGAAAACGTTTTAAAGATACATTTTTTTAAGCGAGTAATACTAAAATTTCTTTTTATATGTGTAAGAAATGCCTTTAAAATTTTTCAAATAACAGTAATTATACAGATAGGAAAATAATTGTTTTGAAAAATTTGTTATTGCTTTAATTTTTGTATTAATACAAAAAAGGAGAAAAAGAACTAATAATTTAAAATGATAAAATTATTATTATAATTTAACTATTTAAAGGTTGTCGTTACCTGTATTTTATTTTTTTATTTTTATTAAAGTTGAGGAGGACAAACTTACATTTAATTTAATGCTATGATATCAAAGTTATTGTGTATTGATATTTTTGTTTATAAAATTTATTTCACTTTTGGGAAAATTGTAATTGTTATAGAAACGTATTATTACACGATATATTAAACTAATTGGCCGATTAGGTTTTGAAGCATTTGCACTTCCTGATCTTATTCATATTTTATTTGCTATCGAAATTTAAACTAATTTTAATAATTGCGAAATTTTGTTTTTTCTTTGTTTCAATATAATATCTAAATTAATATAATAACATTTTCAATTTGATCATGATAATTATAATTGTAGAGCACACAATTATAAAATTTAGAATAATATTAAATATCAGGGATGTAATCGACTTCAAAATCGCCTTGCCAAAATATATTTTAAGTATTTTGTTACCTCTAGTCATATTCAAATTATATCTAAAATTAACTTATTTTTTGTTATATCTATTTATTTTAATTATAAATAAATAAAATTTTCCTGACTTGAGAATTTTTAGGAATAAAAATATATTTTTTAATAGAGAAGTTTTAGATCAATTGAAATTTTTAAGTGTATTTTCAATAAAGAGTTTTGTAGTTTAGAAAAATAATTTTTTTATTGATATGTTTTACTAAAATTCAGATATTGCATTAATATATCGGATTTTACATAAGTACAGATTTGTTTTATATTATCATAACACTTTTAAAAGTATTAAAATCATTTTAGCAAATATAATTTTATGCAAATTGAATTGTAATTATAAAAAAAATTAAGTTTCGTGGTTATAGTACGTATTTCAGAATTACACTTGTAATTTTATGTTGACCATAAAATTTTACCACTTAATTCTAATATTTCGAATTATAGCATTTCATCGAATTCGTTTTAAATAAAATATAATTCAAAATTCTATGATTTTAAAATAGGATTATTTTAAATCAGTTTCTTCTTTAATTTTGGAAATGAAAGCAGAAAAAAACAATATCTTGCAAGAAAATTCGAAATTAAGGTTATTTTAAATACTTATATTACATAAAAATTTAAATATAATATTTTTAAAGCACAACTAAAATTTACTATAATAAAATATAAACTTACAAAAAAATTATTTTCAAGAATAAAATTGGAAAGAGGAAGATAAAAATTGGCATCCAAAAATAAAATTATAATTCAGTTTATTTATTAACCAAAACCTGAAAATTATATTTATAAATATAATAATGATTACAAAAATTTTATTCATATTTTGAAAACTACTCAGCTGAAAATTGTACCAAAAATTTTATTATATAAAAGAATTATAATGTTTTAATAGGTTATTACAAATGAATATAAAATAAATATACGTAGATTAGAATATTTATTATTAATAGAAAAAAATATATTCGACACTTTTAATTATCTTTTTTTATTTTAGTAAGAATATAGCCAATTACTGAAATATCTTTTTTTTAAATAGCTTATAGTAAATTTCATTTTATTAGATTAGAAACAATAAGTGCATTAAAAATCAAACAAGAAAAAAATTATAGATTTGCGAACATTTTATTATATTCAATACTTGCTTAGACTCTTGCCATTTTACTCTTATTTGTTTAGTTTAAAGAACAATTTTGTACTTTTGGCTTAAAATCCATATACATTTTTGAATTGATAAATATTTTGCCATTTCTTATTCAATATACAATTTATATTTTTTTGCTATAAAACTTGTACTTGCCAATTACATTTGATAAATTGATTTCAAAGTCGCAAATCGCTATTTCATTCTTTATTTTTCTTATTTTACAAAAGCTTTAAGCTTTTGATTATTGCGATTATTGCAATGTTTCTAATAACCAAATTTTGAAATGTAAAGAATTAGAATTTTATAATAATGGTGAAATTTTTTTATATTTCACATTTTTACTTTAATTTTTCACATACATGCGATTGATAATTTGTAAAAATATATACATATGTTATCATACAAAAATATTTATATATATATATAAAAATGATGTACATATAATTGTATAATTGAAACTTAAATTGCGGAAAATTCTCGTTGACCAGAATTTTTATTTCATGTTTTCGAAATTAAATACTACATTTAGTAATCAAAATTCAAACTAGTGAGATTTTTGCTAAATAAATATGAAATATTAAAAAAAAGAAGTAATAGTAAAATTAAATTAAAATAAAAATCATTTTAATATAAAAATAAAACTCTAAATAAAAATTCAAATAAAAAAAAAAAATGAAAAGAATGAAAATGATTTAAGAATTTATATTAATTTAGCTTGAAAATAAAGAGATTATAGAATAATAATAAAACGTTCACCCTTTTATCAAAATAAATCAAATGAAAATTTAAATAGTAATAAATAAATAAATAAATAAATAAAGATGAAAGAAAATAAAAATCTTTGTATCCAAATTGTGAAAATGAAAATAATTAAAATCGTTAAAAAAATGAATATGGTTTTTTTTTTATTATTTTTTTGTTATTAGACATTTTGTTTTAAAATTAAAATTAAATAAAATGTGGTAATATTGTGTACAAAAAGTTTGCATTCGTGGCAAAGGTATGAATACGGCTTTTATCATCTTGGAATTAAATATCTTCAAAATTCAAAAGTAAGTTCAATATTTTAAGTAAATTTTGTATGTAAAATGTTAAATATAATTATTTTCTTTTTATCTTAAAAAATTTTTGGAAATTCGAACAAAGCTGTAAATCTTTTCACGGTCTTATAAAAATATAAAACTGAAAATAATTAAAAAATAAATAAAACAAGAAATTTAATTATTTTCTCCTATTTTAATTTTTCAAAACGTAATACATACATAATAGTTTCATTAGATTTAAATATTTATTTTAACCAGTAGTTATGTAAAACTTATATGGATAATATATTAGTTATATAATTTAAATACATACATGATTTTCATATGCATATTATACAAATATTAAATTATTTCTTTTTTAATTCTATAATTTTTTTTTTTTAAAGATTAAAAAAATAATTAAAAGTAGTTATGCAGAGGTTCTGTTTCTTATTTTTTAACAAAGAATCATCAAATTTTTAAAAATTAATTTTTTTATGCTTTAAGCTCTTTCAAAATTTTTGTTATTATGCAAACTTATTAATTCTATTTTTGTTTTATGATATAATGTAAATATAATTTTAAATTTATAATTAAAAATATTTTAAGCTGTTCTATATTTTATTTTTCACGAAATGGAATTTTCAATATCAAAATATGAAATTACTCATAATCTCAATTTCGGAAAAAAATTGAACAGGATAGTCTAGGACAAAAACAAAGCTTGCGTTTTGCTTTTTCATTAATTCTTTATCACAGCAAGCGTTAATACAGTTACACATTAATTAAATTGTTTTACATTTTTGTTATATAATATATTTTTTATAAACATATTTGCATATTATACTAAAATACAAAAACCCTTTGTATTTTAGTATTTTATTATAAACTTGTAATCTTTACGCGCTGTTCATATTTCTCATTTCTTTTCTACACATTTTACCGTCATGCAACTAGAAAACATGTACAATACAAGGTCTTTTATTATTTTCGGTTTAGTATATTTTTAGAAACATATAACAAATTTTAAAAAATTTTAAAATATGATTTATCGTTCACTAAAATTTACCAGTGGATATTTGATTTGAAATAAATACATAGTTGCATGTTATACGTAGCTACATAAATATACATATGTACATATATGTATACATAATGTATTACAAAAACTAACGAATCACTACAAAATATCGGACTTTGTTTTCCAAATGCGTCCAAAGATGAGAAATTAAAACAAAATACAAGTTATATCAATATAATATTATTTTCTATATATTAAAGTTATACTCGTATCAATATAATATAATTCTTATTTTATAATTATTTAAACATAGCTATACAAATATAATTTTTTCAAGGCGACTTTATATTTTCCATAATAATTACTATGTATATTTCTCTTACAGTTTATTATAAGGAATCAAAAATTGATTTTTATGTTATGAGATAACTAATTTTCCATTTAATTCTTAAAAATATAAAATATAGATATTCTAAAATAGGATTTTATTTATTTTTAATTAAAGTTTTATTTAAAAAAAAAATACAGCATCTTTTAAATTTGAAAATCTTATCGTTTTGTTTTATTTTTCATTGTAAATCTTCTCCAAAAGCTTTGTTTTTCAGTAGACTGTGTTGGTTGGCTATCATAATCATATTCTCTATTGCTACCATTTGAATAATCATTATAATTATTACTGCTATTTGTTAATGATGCTGAATTATAATGTTGTTGTGATTGATTTTGATGTTGTTGCGGCAATAATTGTTGTTGATGCGACTGTTGCTGCTGTTGTGAGCTGCTGCTATTCTTTTCACCTCTTAACATATCAAGAAAATTATCTGATTTTCTAGATGGTTTCTGATGATCACCAGTTGCACCAAAACGTAATGCTTCAGCACGTATTTCAGCTTTCAATTGTTCTTGATTAATATTTTCAATACGAAATTCATTTGGATCTTCAACGAAAGCTTGTTGTAAATCTCGCATAATTTTTTTTCTTATTGTTTTTTTCATGCTTAAATGACGTTCCAATGTTTTAACATCACCGCTAGTTAATGTCTTACTATTATCACGTTTCTTTTTTGAATTTTTTTTATTATTACTATTATTGTTGTTATTTAAAGCATTTGAATCAATCATTTGTTGCTGATGTGGATGATGATGATTATTATTATTGTTGTTATTATGTAGATGATCATATGAAGAACCATATGAAGAATGATCATCAATATCATTACTATTACTACTACCATAATTAACTACATTACTATTTCCGTTTTGATAATGATGATTCATATTATGATGATTGTAATGACTTAAATTATTTGTTGGATGTAATTGGTTATTATTATGCATTGTATATCCACTACTTCCACTTAATCCAAATATATCCCTAAGATGAGGAATTGAACGCTCTGATGAAGACATTTTTAAATTTTCTTTTATTTTCCTTTTATATAGTTTGGATATTTATTATTATTTTTTTCTTGTTTTTGATTCACTATGATGCAGTTAGTCTTCTTCTTCTTTATAACACAATTTAATATGTGGACTTAGTTGATTTCTTTGTTTTTAAATCCCTAATACCATATAGTCTGGAAACTCGTAATAATTATATTTAAATTTAAAGATGTAAAATGTTTTTTTTTGTCTGTTTTTAATCTGGAAATAAAGAAAAGTAAAAGTTGAATTAATTAAAAAATATATGTAACATTTAAAAATCGTTTCTCTGTAATTTTGTATATATGTAAATATTTTAAATATTAAAATTTTGTGCGTTTTTTTTTTTGTTTTATGTATGTATATTGCTTTGTTTGTTATTACTATTGTAAATTATATTAAAATTATTGCATTTTGTACCAGAATTTATTTTCCAGTTAATAATATTTTTATAAAGTATTTCATTCATTTTAATTTCGAGTATTAGTTTTAGCCCAACTATTCAAAAGTAAGTATAATTTGATTTGATATAATTTGATATACAAGAATCTCCATCTTTCTGAGCTACTTATTAACAATTTTGTGTTTTAATAAAATATTTCGTCATATATTAATTTTATTAAATGTATGTAAAAAAAAAAACAAAATATTTTATCTTTAAAGGAAGACAGTATTTTTTTAAAAGAGAACAATGCTCGTGAAGCAATGTTCTTACGTGGGGGTAGTTGAACATGTCTCATTTCCAGTATTTTACTTTCAATACAGTTTGTACAATTTTTATAATTAAAATTGGTAAACTATATTGGTGTTCTGGGTACCTACCTATGATTTGATACTTTAATTCAATATTACCGAAAGTACATACATAGACCAAATCATATTGGAACTGAATCGACTTTTCAATTGATATTTAGTAAAAAGATTAAATTATTGTTAAAAGAAGAGAATAATAAAAAATTTTGGGAAAGAGATTTTGAAAAAAAAAAAATAAAAAACTTGTTTTAAATAATTTTTATGGAACTTTTCCTGGAATTTCTCTATTTGGAAATTAATTATAATAATTTTAATATTAAAATAACCTTCTAATGTGTGTATAGCTGTTTTTTGAATTTTTTTAATAAAATTATAATACCAGGAACACTTAAAAAATCAATATATTATAAATAATATGAAAAACAATACAAACTTATTTGATTCAATTAATAAATAATTCAAAATGGTGTTGTAAACGGCACATATTTTCATATTTCCTTCCTTTTTTCTCATTTTAATACACTTATACTTTAGCACATATTATTGATATTAATTTTCCTTGAAAAGTTATAAAATTATCTTCAAAAGTAACTTTATAAAATTAATAAAAAAAATATAATTATATACTTATAAATAACGATTCTTTTGTTCTTTTGTCTACCATTGTTATATAGAGAAAAAACCAAAAAAAAAAATTATAAAAAATGAATCTGTTCTTTATTTAATTTTTATTACAAAAAAAAAATCAAAATTAAAATTTATTATTCGTGGGCGATTTTGATCTCATTCACTGACTATAAGCTAAAAATTTCAAACAATCACAAGCAAATTATGAGTTTGTTAGTTCTACATATACTTTTAAGAAATATGGGATTAGAAAAAGGGAGCAATAGTAAAATAAATTTATGCAAATATTATAAAATAATAAAATAATTAATTAGAATTAAAAATAGTCTTGATATTTATTCAAAATAAAGAATTCACTATAATTGAATTTCATTTTTTTATAATTTCATTTAATTCGGCATCATAAGCAATAAAATTAAAATGAATTGAGATAAAAAAAATTCAATATACTTCTTCTTTTTTAGGAAAAAAATTATGTCATTCCCCCATAGTTATATAAATAAATTATAATGTACTTGGAATTATTATGAGAAATCAAGGACAAAATTAAATGCTTTTTGCTTAAAAAATTTACTAAAGTAGACATTAAAAATTATTTTTCTAATAGTTTTTTTTTCTAATTAATCTGTCATTTAATCCTTCCCAGATTATTGATATTATTTAAAAATAAAATATAAAAAATGCAAACATTAATTAAATATAAAATTCGGTTATTTTTATTTTTAGTGTTAAAATAGAAGCCAGAAGTAAATTGGAATAGTATAGAGCATTGCTCAGAATCTAAATTATACTCTTTATATTGTCGACATGGAAATAGTATATAAGACCCAAATCAAAATTTAATTATAAATTTTGCACATAATTTTATAAATTATTTCAGAACATTTAATAAACTTTGATTTTTAAAATTTGTACATTTCAATCCATCTTCTTAAAGATACTTAAGTTAACATTAAAAATATATATTCTATGTTCAGACAAATAAACCATACTAATCGTACATTCAATGGAAATTTTAGAATGTGCGAAACTGAAATATAAACTCAAAGTAAAATTAATTGTTAATACAAAGCGCAACGAGGTTCTGCAATAGTTTTTTGACTAATCGATTGAAAAAGAAGTTTATAAATGTATTAAGATTTTACTTAAAAAATATTAGGAAGAAATAAAAAAGGGTATTTCTTAAAAACGTGCGTTTTCTATAAATTAAAAACAATTTCAGAATTTTTAAAAATAATAAAAATTACGGACTTTTAATAATTCTGTTCTAATTGAGATCTTAATATTAAGATCATTGAATAAATCAAAATTACAAAATACATTCAAATGTAGCGTGTTCGATAAATCACTATGCTACAAAGGAAGCAAGTTTGAAAAATTGTAGCTGTGAAAGGACGCGTAGAATAGAAAACTTTTAAATATTAAATATAATAACAGCCTAATCGTGTACCTCGCTTTTTCATCTCACTTTTTGTTTACTTTTAAATAAGAATTTTTGGCAAGTAAAATCGTGATCACGCGCGACACTTCCCTTAGACTAATCACTAGGAAGCTGCAAAATATTGACTATATTACAAAGCTGCATAAGGAAACTTTTTAGTTTTTCCGAATACGTAATTATATAAAAGAAAATGCCACATTTCAGAAAAAAATCCGTCTTTCTAATTTTTTTTTGTCTTTTTTTTTGAAAATCGACATTTAAATGTATCGATTATTTTAGTAATTTCAATATAACAAAATTACGTAATTTAAGAACAAAATTAAAAAACATGACTGAGAACATAGAAAATAAAGGACAAATGTGGCGCATATTACATTTTTTTAACATTCTCTGAACTTCAAATCTAATTAATTAAATTATTAAAAATTAAAAAACTTTTATTATTAAAATTTAATTAGAGAAAATCTGCCTAATTAATCTAAAATCTAATTTTATCTAAATTGCAATAACGAAATATACATATGTACATATGTATGTACATATGTATATCCGCTACAAGAATTTTCACTCACTCTTTGTGTTAGAAAAAAAAAACAAAATTGAGTGAGAAGTAGATAAAGACTTCGCCGGATCAATTCCAATATGTACATACACATATTTATACAGAAAGCATTTTGTAGTGATTTTATATAACCACACACTTGATTATTCAAACAAAACAAAACACATACATATATACATATATTTATTATTTATTAATAAAATTACACAAATTTCCTTCACCTTAAATTCTAATGACCTGCTGTTTAGCAAAGAACCTTAAGTTTACTAAAAGTTTCAATTTATCTTCAATAATTTCAAAAATATAATTAAAATTTAAAAGAGAAAAACATGTTTAAACGAGAATAGGTAGAGTTGATCGTGTCAACTCTACGATCTTAAAAGTTGTTTTATAATTGATACATTGTTTTACAGGATTATTTCATACGTGTATATGACAGTTACCCCATAGACTCATACCATCTCAAAGACTTTCAGCACTTTAGTTTCAATAGTTCCCACAATACATGACCGAATGACTTTTAAAGTTGTATGGTAGCTTTTACATTCACACAAGATACAATATAGCAACAACAATAAATTATTTGCTTGTGCGAAATTTCAAGATACTCTGGATTCTGTAATTTACGAGATACTGTTAAAAAACTTTGGAAGTTGTATAGCAGTTACCTGAACCACTTCCTCGATCACATCTAATTCGAATGGGTTCTGGCATTTACAACAATGCTATACTATAATAAAACATTTGTCCAAAATTAATTTAATTAATTTTTGAGTTATCGCTGGGACCGACGAATCAAAACATATATACTTGCCTTTATGTCTCAGACCATTATTTCTAAGCGCTACAAACGAAATGGCAAATATATAATACCTTGTGAATTGTACATATGTACGTTCGTAAACGGGTATAAAAATACATGTATTTTGAAATTTCTATTCTACGAAGAAAAAAAAAAGAATAAATTTACGTCAGCATTAAAAGCGATTAATAACGTCATGATCCGTAAAAAAATTTAAAATTAAATTTTAAAATTTTCATATAGAAAAAAAATCTAAACAAAAAAGTAATTTTTTTTCTCTCAAATACTGGTTTTTTGTAATAATAAATGTTGTATTTGTATTTAACCGTAAATTTGTTAAAATAAAAACATAAAATAAAATTGTGATAACAAAGACTTGGCGTAAAACGCGATTTCTAATTGGATGCATGCAAATTAAGTTTTGATTGTTTCAAAGCTTGCGTGAAATTTACAATGAAATTAAAAAAAAATCATTTATTTTATTAAAAAAACAGTAAAATTTTAATATGTAAGTATGTATATTTAATTATTTACTTGTATGGATTTTGGTTTATCTAAATTTTTTTCTTCAACCTGCACTTTGACTCTATTTGTAATATGTGCTTTTTAGTTCTTTAAGGGTTTTTTGTTAAGGATGATTTGTAAAATACCAAAATTCCCTTTAACCGATTAGTTGTTAAACAACGTGCTGTTTAAAGAAAATATTTTTTAAATGTACATACACGTACAGAAAGAGATTTATTTATTTACTTACTTTTCTCTATAAAACGATCATAAATTTGTAGTCGTATTTACAAAGCAATGGTAATCCTTCGACTTGTTGGTCCAACCCTAGAAGAAGAACAAAAATTAATAAAAATGTAAGTTCATTGATGATTGAATAAGAAAACAGTTAACTATGTTAATTTCGTGATACATATATGTATGTACTTATATAATTTCTTATATGGTAAGATACTTTTTCATCTATTAAAATTCAATAACGCTAATGTTTTCAAGGAAATATGTGAAATGTGATGACTCGGTATTTGTCTTTAAAAAGTAAACTATTTAATAATGTCTATGAGCGGATAAAATTTCGAACTTCTGCGATTTTCTGTTTACTAGAAAATTTATATCAAAAAATTGGAATTTTAAAACTGTAGGTTAGGATGCTCATTTTGACATAGGTACTTTTATACGAGCGTTCTGATAAAATTTAAGAAAAAGAATGTTATTTTTTTTGCGTTTCTTCGTTTTTCTTGGGTTGTGTGTTTTGGTACAATTTTTTGAGTTAAATTTAGGACAGGGTGTAGGGAGTTCTGTAAAGAAATTTGGTTCTATATAGAGAAATTTCTTAAGAAACACTAAATTTAATGGAAAGTGATAGTCTAATTTTAATAAAAGAATGCTGTTCTATAGAGAATTTATACATTCAAAATTTTATATAAATAAATTTGGAAGGATTTATTAAAAAATTTTTAAATAAATATAGACTTTACTGACTTAGAACATTGTATATTTATACATAAAAATATTACAAACCAATAAAGTAATTTTTTAAAAAATGAAAAAGGTGTGAATCAATATTTTATCCATTTGAAAACGGACGAATAAATTTCATTTTTTTATTAAAAAAAGATTCTGCGATGGCACCAAATTTTGTATGTTGACTTTTGAGTCGAAATGCCTTTCCTCATTGTAGGAAAATATAAATGAATTATTTTTAGTGTGATATCTGTTTGTCGTGTAGCTTAATTTTGGCTAAACCCATTTTAATGAAAATTTATAACAGAGTTTATTTTGGTCATGTAACAAATTGATAAATTTTTGGGATATGCCGAGTATTAAGAACTGGACTATGGGCCGAATTAACATTTTTGAGCATATACAAAGAAATAAACAATTAATTTCCTTGAAATTTAATTCTCCAACTCAAGGTTAAAGCAATAAATTTGAAAATAGAACTTTTATTAGGGGCAAATTCTATATTTACCATATTTTCGGAACTAGTTGACGGAATTTCTTGAAATTTAAAATTTCAGCTCTGTATATTAGCGGACTAAGCGACAAAGCTTTCAGCGAAAATTCTAATGGCATAAACTATAAAGTGAATCTCGGCTAACAAAATATTTTATTTTTATTCAAGTTAAAGCTACATTTTTTTACAAATTTCACAACTTTTTATGTAAGAATTTGTTCGTCGTCTTCATTTAGTATTATTTCTATGTAGGTGTTTCATCAATTAGGTTTTTATTTTTCCAAACTTTTTTGCATCGAGGCAAAATTTTCTGATTTCTACAGTATCGAAGGTGAAAAATTAAGTTCAATATTAATACGTACACAAAATTACAATAAATATAGTTTCTAATTTTTATTATTCGATTTCTTTAGCATATAAGTATTATACACTAAGCTAGCAAAAATAGATTAATTTATCATACTAATGTTATACAATCCATTAAAACGATGTAGTTGGTGTTAAAGTATTAAGTTAAAATGACAAAAAGAAAAATGATGAAAAACAAAGAATTACTGTTAAAGTTGTAATGTAAATAAATACAGGTAAGTACCCGTGTTTCTACAAAATGTGCTATTGTGTAAAAAAGTTAATTCTCATGTGAAAAAATAGTTATACACTTTAAGTTTGTATATATACAAGTTGATGATTCATGATTTTTTTTAAGTTCTTTTTTTTCTATATGCGACTGATTTTTATATTACGTAACCGTAAAATTAACAATTTCAAGCCATGTTAACTTATGCGAAAATATTATTTTATGCTATATAATAAAATGGTGTTTAAAATTTACTGTTAAATCAAATCCAATCTATTTTATTGTCTTCATTGTTTGTGCGATTAAAGTTTTTAAGTTAAATTTCTTTTTTTTTTTATTTTTGATTTTAAATGAAAAACAAGAAATGAATTTAAATGAAGTTGCTTCCGAGTTTTTCAACAATTTCGATTAAGGTGAATATATTCAATAAATTGTAAAAAGGTGAAGTTTTTTTTTTATGGTAGCTTACGATTTTTATTTACATTGTAGTAGGTTTCTATAACATAAATTTTCCTTGCCGCAATTAGCTTATCAGTTTATAATAGCTTTTTTTAATTAAATCGACTTACCATTTTCTGCACATATAAAAAATAACAAAAATTATTCAATTTCGAAATTTCGAAAAAAATTGTTTTCCCTGTTCTTTCTTTTTTGCTTAAACTAAGAGCTATTAATCAAGAACAAATATTCAAAATCATATACTCGTACATATTGTGCATAATATTAAAGAAAAGAACTTTATAATTATAAATAGATCATGTAACTTGAAATTAGTATTCAACTTAAATGCTACATTTTTGGAATCGTATGGCGAATATAGCTATATTATATGAAAATTTTAATGAGGAATTCTTAGCGAACTAATTCTTTCTCTATTGAATGCACAAACTCAGCATGTACCCGAAGTTTAAAACACATTTCTAAAAAGTTATGAATTCTTTTTAAATAAATATTATAGAATTTATTATATGCCAAATTGTTATATAATTTCGCCTAATTAATATATTATTAAAAACATATTTTAAAATATGGTCACAAGTGGGTAATCGTCACATTTTTTACATGTATTGGTAAATTTTGTCATATAAAAAGTAAGAGTACAAATTAATATTTTCATTTCAATATATTTTTTTTAAAGTTCTGAATTTGTGGAAATGTCGAATAAAGGGAAAAGTGAATCACTGAGTGAATAAAGTAAAATCTTTTAATTTGATTTTATATTTTTAGAAAGCGCCATTTTCAACAAGGAAATCATTTTTTTTTTGAGAGAAAATATTACAGCAGATTGTTTTAAGGTTCTTTGATTACAAATAATAGTAAAAAATACATGTATAATAAATATAATAATAACAATAATTTAATTTCGTGAAAATTTGTTAACATTTTTGCGTTTTCTCATTTATAACATAAATTATACGGGTTTTTAACGATTTTTGTTTTTTTTTTTTTTATAATTCAGTACGGTTTTTAATTTTCAGTAGATAATATAATGATGTGAGAAATATGAGAAAGTGCAAATTTATACAAAAATAAAAAGTTTATAAGGGTTATAATTATCTATATATAAATATATTTGTAGTTATATCTGTATATATACATATATAGTAATGCTTAAAATTAACTAAACAAATCTATACTTTCATTTTTTAAATAATTTTCAACAATGAATCCATATTTAAATTATATAGGTGTATAAAAATAAAGATGACAGAAAATATCGTAGAATGGAAAAATGATTGAAGAGAGCTGTAAAAATAGAGAGTATGGTGATTTTACATATCGAAATTCTTACCATTTAAAAGGTATTATTATTTTAAATACAATAATAATAATGTAGGTATGTATACACACATTATGCTTATTTGCTCTGTCATGACAATGAAGCCAGTGATTGTACGGAAGATTTTATAATAATAATTTTAATTTTTTTGATATTTTTTCTTAATAAAATTTTAAATTGTAATCTTAAAAATGAATTGTATTAATATCTTTATTTCTTCTTTTAACATATTAGTTCTTTGCCTTACATTCTAAATTATGAAAGTAAAACATTTTAAAATCGAACATAATATTAAAGGTAATCTAGCTATGCTTCTCTTATTTTGTTTAATTTTATATTGAAAATTTTACATTAAAAAATTTATCATAAATTTATATTGGAAAGTGAAAATGATGAGCAAATAACCATAAGTTAGACATTTCCTGTCTTAAAATTGAAAAGTTAATTGATTAAAATTTTAATGAACTGACTTCAGTTTTGTCGATATCTGGAGTCATTTATCTTTTTGTTAACCTGTTGATGCTCCTCTCATCCATAGCAATTTTAACAAAAGACTCAAATGAGAAACTTTAAAAGTTTGCAAATGGTGTATTTTGTGTATTTTGTGTATATAACAAAAATTTTATAGTAGAAAATGATTTTTGTATATTCTATGGAAAAAGTTATTTTTATTAAAATAAGCCATCACTCTTGTACAGGTAAGTTGTGAATATGAAAGTTCAATGTTCATAATAGTTTAACAGACAATGGACCTAAAACCGAACACTATAGCAAAGGAAAAGGAAAAGCACATGATTTTCGATGAAAAAGTAAGAGACTTTTCACAATTCATGGAGCAGTAGATTGTGTTACATCAGTTATTAGTAACAGTTGTTAGTAGCAGAGATGGAAGTAAGAAACAGAGGTCCAATTATCTATAGACAATGAAAGCAGAAACTATATAGAACTAAAACCGATGAATATAGAAGCTATATAGAACTAAACCAAGAAGATTAATTTAATTATGAAATAGGATGGCGCGAGCTGATCTGAAGTAGGGCGAATAGCAATTCCGTTTATATGTAGAACAAAAGAAATCATATAAAACAGATGATTATTATTTTATGAATTTATAACTGAAATATATTAAATTAATGATAGCATACATAATATATTGAAAATTTTCGAAGGTAACACTACAACTTCATCAAAAAATTAATTGCACTTAAGTATTCTAAATTTTTTAAATTTGCATTTGAATACCGTTGTCCCTTTATGTAATTTGAAATTAACAAAACAATTTGTCTTGTATTGTATAGAACTTTTTTCAAATTAAAATTTTCAATATTGTTAATCGAAAATTTTTTTAATACAATCAAAATTTAATAAATTACATATTAAATATTTTATTGAAAATCAATTAAAAATACTATTTAAAATTTTAGAAAATCGTGAAAATGTAACTAATCAAAAAATAATAAATTTTCGGCACCCCTTGGTCCTTTTGTGTGAGTTCATTCTTATATAACAATCAA